GCATCTTGCAAGTGCGTCGTGAGCCGTTTTCCTTTTGTTTGAGTTGAGACGACCATCTTTTGTCGAATAACCGATCGTTGTGGGCGCGAAAGTGCGAAAGCGATATATATATATATATATATATGTATACACATCTATATAATGATAGAGAGAGAGAAACGTATATACAGGGAAGGGAGAGAGGGAGAGAGAGAGAGAGACATAATGACAACGAGAGAGAGAGAGAGAGAGCGCGAGCGAGAGAGCGAGAGAGACACAGAAGAAGAGAGACAACACAAACAACAACATCAAAACAAAAACAAAGATAATGTGTGCTTTTGCACGTCGAGCTCCCATCCGACGCCAGCGGCCAGGTGCGACTCGGTCTGCCCCATCCGATCTCCCGCCCGCCCCTGCCCTCCCCCCCTGAGGGTTTGGCTGGCGCGAGCGGGGGGCTTTCTGACCGGCGGCGCGCAGAGGGGGGGGCAGCGGAAGCCCATGCCAAAAAGCGCCCAGCTTGTTTTCAGGGTGCCCTGGGCTTCTCGGGTTTCGGTGCGGTTTTGCTGTGGAGAGCGTGGCGCTCCCACACCAAAAGTCCATGGACGTCCTGGGGTCTCAGGGTTGCGTTTCTTGTGGAAGATTTCTTGTGGTCGAGCTCCTACTGTACTCACCGAGCGCGTTCCACTACTCACAAGGTGCCCACTCGCAAACGTCAGAAAAAAAACATGCCTTCCTCTGTGTAATGGATCTTCGATCACCCGCGGCGGATCCAAGCCATTGGCGAGTGGCTACTTTTCGAGGGAGTGGTTAGCCAAAGGGGGGGCTCGGGAGCGAACCCAGCTCGAGGCTACAGTGATCTCCCACAGGGGCTTTGAAAGTGTGTAGTTTTGTGATTCCCAGATTCCAATCTACCTTCGGCTTGGACATTTCAGGGTTCGCCAGGGATTGGCTTCCTTTCAGAATAGCCAAACCCTCCCGAAACCCTCCGAAAACCTTCCGGGAAGGCTTCTGGGAGGTTTTCCGGAAGGGTTGTGGATGGGTTCTCGTCGGTTTGGGGGGAAAACCATCCCCTAGCGAACCTGAAGTTTTCTACGTCGACTGCTTTTTGCTGTTTTTTGCTGTCCTAACCCAAGGGCCAAGCCTAACCCAAGGGTCGACTGCCTTTCGGGGTGAGCCTAACTCAAGGGTCGACTGCTTTTTGCTGTCCTTCGTCTTGAGTGGGCGGGCAGACGCCCAATCTTCTTCCAGCGCCTTCCTACGTCACATGTCTGCCCACCTCTTCCGGCCCACGGGTCACCCCACCTCTGCCGTGACCCCACCTCTACACCCTGCGAAATGCTAAAAGAATCATGGGTTCAGAAATCCACGGTCCCAGAATGTGAGTACAAACCCATATTAAAAAAAAAAAAATCTTAGGATGTACATTGAAGCATTAGGAATAATCGAGACTCTGGCCGAAAACTTACGTTTTCTTCAGCATCGCCTACGCTGTACGTCCCCCCGACGGACGTGCCGTGCCGAGAGCCCCCCCCGCCCGGAGGGCGGTCCCCCCGCGAGCCCCGCCACGCGCGCGTGCCGCCAAGATCGGCGTGCGGGGGGGCGCACGGGCGCCCCCACCGTTCGGGCCGAACGAAAAGGGGGGGATCAGGGAAAATCGGGGCTGGACAGAACCCCCAATAGTGACACGCCGATTAGGGAATTGTCCGTTCTCGGTTCTCGAGAGGGCGCCGCGGCCGTTATTTTCCAGGCTTGCGCCCGCCAGGTTTGGGCCCGAGGTCGTTTTCACTAAACCACGTTTTACTAAAGGGAGGTCTGTCCATCCCCGAAAGGGGGGGATCAGGGAAAAGGGGGGGGGGGACGAAATCTGCTGCATGCAGCTGGTTTCGGCCCCGCCGCCGGGAAGGTCAGCTGCGCGGGTTGGTTCTCAGCCCCCCCCTCTTTGCGATCCTCCCCTTCCGCCTGGCCCGAACAGTGGGCAGGACTTCTGCCCGTACAGTGGGGGCCCATGCCAAGAAGCGCTCTGCGTGCTCCCAGGGTGCTCCGGGGATGCTTGGGCTCCAACGCTTTCGCGGTGGAAAGCGTGACGCTCCCGCACCAAGAATCAACGAGCGTCGTGGGGTCTCACTGTTGGGTTCCCTGTGGAAGGTTTCTCGTGGACTGATAGCCTCCACTGTATCCATTGCAGCTTGGAGTCTCGGGCTCCCTTCCCCTGAAACAAGAGGCGCGCTGGGTCTGGACAAACAGCTGGCCCCCAGAGGCCCGATGTGCATCCACGTCCGGAGCGCCCTGGCCTTGCGGCGCCCTGGAGAACGATCGCAATTTTGCCCACACCCGTCGCCCATGCATCGCCGATCGGGGCTCGGGCGCACCAGCCTGCCCCAGAGAGTGCGGTTTCGCGACCGGTCTGGCGCTGCGTGATGGGGGGGGCGGCAAAGGGCGGGTAAAGAGAGGTGCACCGCCTGCGCATCCTGGGGCCCCAAAGGGGCACGAGAGATACACGCTCCCCCGCACAATTCATCGCCTCCCATTAAGCAACGCCCGAGACGATGCGTCACCATGAAGGGATCGGGTCATGAGGAGGAGGGGGAAGGGGGAGGAGGAGGAGGAGGAGGGGGAGGAGGATGAGGCAGCGCCCCCCCCCTATTTAACGCCCCTCCTCCCATTAAGCAGCGCCCGATCGGGGTGCACATTGGAGCTCAGTCGGCGATGTCTCGTCGAGTCCAGGCGGCCAGCGCTTCCCCCCTGAGCGAGCCCCCCCTCCCTCTCGGCTCCCCTAGGGATTGCTTCGCGGGAGTTCTCTCCGCTCGTGTATATCCCAGACCGTTGGATCAAGTTTTTGGGCGCATGCGTTAGTACGTTGTCTGTCTGTGTTTTCAGATTGGTTACGTTGGCATGAAGCCAGCGTGCGCCACCGTTTGTTTTCTCCGCTGCTGGCGGGGGCCTTGTCCGCACGGCCTCACCGTCATGATCATCATTCCGAGATTGCGAACATCGAGGTCGGCAGCAAATCTCTGCGAGTCAGTGTGATAACCGATGTTTGTTTGCATCACGTCGCACAGAAAACAAACGACACCTCGCAGGCATCACAGTGTCCACAAGGAACCAAACAAATATCCAGGCTTGGTGTAAAACATAGTTGCTGTGCTTTGAAGACGTCTCAGCCCAGCCACCCAGCAGGGAAACCTAGTAAGAAGTCGGGCTTGGCATACTTCACTATGATCGGCTTCCTTGAACTGAACACGGCTGTTCCATTAGGACACAAAATGAAGAGCACCGCGCAACGTTTTGCTGTATCTGGGAAGGGCTCAAGCCTTCCCCCCTGCGGAGGCAGACCAAGTGGAGTGGCGTGGTACCCATGGTCCCGCCATGGGAGACAAGTGGAGTTGCGACGCTCTTCTGTTGTCCCAGGATATCTCCTGCGAGAGGGCTAGAAGGAAGATGAGCTCTGTCGGTGAGCCTCATGAGCTATACCAGATAGCACTAGATAGTCGACATGTTCGAAGCGTTGATGCTGTGACTTCGAACTCCCATCAGAGGGAAGTATCGTTGCTACCAGGCAGCGCTTTCAAAGTATCCCCTACTCCCAGCGAGTGTGATCCGAGTGTTTGCGCTGGGGAGGTAACAGTGATGTGCCACGTCGTGGAACAGATCGATGGTGAGTTCTGGGTTGACCTGAACGCCGGACCCGCTCTAGTTCCTGTTGTCGTGCTGATGGCCTCCTGTCGCCGTTGCCGACGCGGTCTGCTTGAGCGTTGTCTTCGTGCTGCGATGACCAGCGCCGTTCTTTGAAGCGGCCTGGCCCGTGATGGCTGCTTCCCGTCGTGCAAGACGAGAGGGAGCGGGGAACGTGCCGTCGTCGGGAGCCGCTGGGGGGGCACGCTCGCGGCGCTCACGCGGCAGCTCCGCTGCCTCGGGCGGAGGTCGTGCCAGACTGCACGAGCGATCTACGCGGCGTCAGCGGCGTCGGATCGCGGGCGGCAAGGGCTCGGGCCCAAGGTGGCCGCAGCAGCGGCGCCCGGCTGGGCCTGGGGGCCACGGCCAATCATCGTCGTCATCATCATCATCATCATCATCATCATCATCATCATCATCATCATCATCATTATCATCATCATCATCATCATCATCCTCATCCTCATCCTCATCCTCATCCTCCTCATCCTCATCCTCATCATCATCATCATCATCAACAACATCATCATCATCAGCAGCATCAGTAGCATCATCATCATCATCATCATCATCATCAGCATCAGCATCATCAGCATCATCATCAGCATCATCAGCAGCATTATCATTATCATCATCATCAACATCATCATAACCATCATAATAATCAGCAGCAGCAGCATCAGCATCAGCATCGTCGCAGCATTATCAGCATCAGCATCATCGTCATCGTCAGCAGCATCAACAGGATCATTATCATCATCATCAGCAGCAGCATCACCATCATCATCATCATCATCATGATCATCAACATTAGCATCCTCATCATCATCATCATCATCACCGTCATCAGCAACATCAGCAGCATCAGCATCAGTGCCAGCATCAGCATCAGCACCATCACCATCATCATCATCATCATCATCATCATCATCATCATCATCATCATCGTCATCATCATCATCATCATCATCACCACCATCATCAGCATCAGCATCAGCATCACCACCATCGTCAGCACCATAAGCATCATCATCGTCATCGTCATCATCATCATCATCATCATCATCAGAATCATCATCAGCATCATCACCACCACCATCATCATCATCATCATCATCAGCATCATCATCATCTGCATCATCATCATCATCATCATCATCATCATCATCATCATCATCATCATCATCATCATCATCATCATCCTTCCCCTCCTCGTCGTCCACTCCGTTGCTCTCCCCTCCTCGCCCCCTTCCCCCCCTCTCCCCCCCCGTTCCCCCGCCCTCGCGCCTCCCCTGGCGGCCGGCCCGGCGTGGGCGTTGGCGCCGCTGCAAGAAGCCCCGCCCCGCCAGGCCATGCAGCCAGACGAGATCTTGATCGACGCCGACGAGGCGTCGCCTCGGCCGCCCAGCGCCGCGGCTTGTCCGCACTCCGCCTCCGAACGTGGGAAGAGAGAGAGAGAGAGGGGGGAAGGGAGAGGGAGAGTGAGAAGGAGAGGGAAAGAGAGGGGGGCAGGTTAAGGAGAGGGAGGAGAAGGAGGAGGAGGGAGAGGAAAAGGAGGAGGAGGAGGAGGAGGAAAAGGAGGAGGAGGAGGAGGAGGGGGAGGAGGAGGAAGGGGGAGGGGGAGGAAGGGTGGGCCGATACTTTCGTTTACAGAGAACTCCATGGGCCCCGTCGTCGTCGTGTTGTCGTTGTCCCCTTCGAGGGATGGGGAAGGAGTTCTGCGAAAGGGGGGGTCGAGGATGAGGGCGAGGGGTCCGTTGAAAACAAACAAGTCCCCTTCCAGAACCTTCAGAGCCTGCTGGGGTGTCCCCTTGCCTCTCCCTCATCCTCCCCCCCACACCACAGGCGCGCCTCCGTGTCCTCCTCACCCGTTGCTTCCCTGAAGCCATTTATAGCCACCCAGATCCAAACATTTTGATTACGTACATGCCGCCAGTATGTACTGTACGTGCGCTTGTTCATTTAGTCGGCACTATGGATATGAGGTTGTCTTGCCTTGCTGTGTCTCAGGAGGGATAACAAAAAAGGCACAGGCACAATTCATCGATGATTGCCCAGAACATATGGGAAAACATGGGAGGTGGGGGGGAAGACAAACACCCAGAACATATAGGAAACTAAGGGGAATCCTGTTATTTGTGTAAATGTATTTGTGTGTCTCACTGCTCCTTCATTGTCCTCTTCATTGCTTCAGCACCTGTTCCTCCCCCCCCACTTCCTGCTCCTGGACCCCCGTGGCGGTGCCTCCAGCGCCGCCCCCCGCGCGCTTCCTGAGAGGAGTGGTGGCCCAGCGCCGAGCCAAGAAGTCCGCTCGGGCCTCCGCCATGCGAACCCTACCACTGGCGCCCTCGGTGGAGCTCCCTATGGGACCACGATCCCCGTGAGGGGTGCGCCGAAGTGGGGCGGGGCCGCCATGCGAACCTTCCCACTGGCACCCTCGGTGGAGCTCCTATGGGGCCACGATCTTCGTGAGGGGTTGCGCCGAAATGGTGCGGGGCCGCCATGCGAACCCTGCCGATGGCGCCTATGGTGGAGCCCCTAATGGGGCCACGATCCTCGTGAGGGGTGCGCCGAAATGGTCCGAGGCCGCCATGCGAACCTCGCCATTGGCGCTTTCGGTGGAGCTCATATGGGGTCACGATCCTTGTGACTGGTGTGCCGAAATGGCCCGAGCCCGCCAAGCGAACCCTGCCGCTGGGGCATTTGGTAGCGTTCCCTGTGGGGCCACGGTCCTCGTGAGGGGTGTGCCGAAATGGAGACCGCCGTGCGAACCTTGCCACTGGCGCCTTCGGTGGAGCTCCTAATGGGGCCACGATCCTCGTGACGGGTGCGCCGAAATGGCCCGAGGCAGCCATGCGAACCCTGCCACGGGCTCCTTCGGTGGAGCTCCTTATGGGGCCACGATCCTCGTGAGGGGTGCGCCGAAATGGCCCGAGGCAGCCATGCGGACCCTGCCATTGGCTCCTTCGGTGGAGCTCCCTATGGGGCCACGATCCTCGTGAGGGTTGCGCCGAAATGGTCCGAGGCCGCCATGCGAACCCTACCAATGGCTCCTTCGGTGGAGATGGGGCCACGATCCTCGTGAGGGGTGTGCCGAAATGTCCCGAGCCCGCCAAGCGAACCCTGCCACTGGGGCCTTCTGTGGAGCTCCTACGGGGCCACGATCCTCATGGGGGTTGTGCCGACATGGTTTGTGGCCGCCATGCGAACCTTGCCACAGGGGCCTTCGGTGGAGCCCCCTATGGGGGCACGAAACGTTGCACCAGGTTCGTGAAACGCAGGGGGGTTAGGAGGAGGGGGGGGAGGGGGGAGGGGGAGGAGGAGAGGTGGAGGAGGAGAGGGACGCGGGGCACGTCTCTTCAAAACCAGGACCCAGCACCACAGGATGGCTGGGAACAAACAAGAGACAGGGACCATACCAACAGAACCGACGACAGCAATAACAAACAACACACGGAAGCAGCGCAACACGCGCAAGCAACAACAACACCAACAACAACAACAACAACAACAACAACAACAACAACAATAACAATAACAATAACAACAACAACAACAACAACAACAACAACAACAACAACAACATTAACAACAACAACACCAACAACAACAGCAGCAACAACAACAACAACGACAACGACAACGACAACGACAACGACAACAACAACAACAACAACAGCACAAACAACAGCAACCACACCAGCAAATGCAGCCAGCAAAACAGCAGCACCACCAACAACAGCACAAGCAACAGCAAACACGACAGCAACACCAGCAACCAGCGCAACAGCAGGCCACAACAGCAGCAATACAAGCAAAATCGACAAGAAGCGAAGAAACTACAAACGACAAGCTAACAACACAACGCGGACAACAAGAAGGCAACGACAAGAAGCGAACAACGACGAGCCAACAACAGCCAGAAACCAACAACTTTCCGCAGCCACGTTGGCTCAAGAATTTGTGCGTCGAGCCACCGCAGCTGCTTTGCAGCGAGGCTCAGGTGAGCACGCCTACAAAACAGACGAGCGTCTCGAGCCTGTGGGGCCTCTCGAGCTCGCCCTCCGAGATCCCGAGCTTCTCCAAGGACCTCGAGGCCAAGATGATCGAGGCTGGACAAGCAGACGAGGATCTCCCCTTTGTCTCCTTCCTTCTCCCCCAGGTCCCGAACCCGTTTGCCCCGGTTTTTCTGTTCCACGGAAGGTGCCCGCCATCAACGTCCCCGCATGCAAGATTGAAAACGACCCCAAATAATCAGTTGTTACACATAAATGTTCTACGGTTCCGAACCCCAGTTCTGAAATCAAAAAACAATCCTGGGACCGCCCTCCGCTCTCTTCCTTCCGCCGCCCCTCCTAGTCCTTCCTTCCTTGTAGCGCTGCCACTACTACCACAGTCAACCCGCGTAGTAGGGGTGACCAACCATCCCAAGGCCACCGTTGCAACCTTGCCCCGCCGGCCCACACCTGGCGACTTTCGCTGGCCAGCCCCGCTCGACAAGTATCGACGCGGGCCTTCCCAGGTCCTTGCGCCCGCACCACGCATCCTTATAACGCGGGTCGACTGCGCTACTACTAGCACCCCCTCCTCCCCCCCTCAGAAGCGAGTCGCAGACGCGGCCGCGCGCCGAAAGTTTGCGGGCGCCGAGGGCCAGGCCCTCGCCCCGGGCGGCATCGGCCGAGGCGCGCAGCGAGGCTTCGGCCAGAGCGGCAGACCCGGGGAACAGCTGGCGGAGTACAACGGGGCGCACAAGCCCCAAGCTGCGCCTGCGCTGCGACGAGTTCCACCAGCGCAGTCCAATCCCCAGGTCCTCCTCGACCGGAGCAGGCGCGCGGGCGAGCGCGGCGTCGAGAAGTTCGCCCTCCTGGCCGTCGCCACGAAGGCCAAGCTGCAAAACGTCGGCGTCACCCAATCACACTTATGTTACATGTGCGTCGCCCTCCCAGGGGCGACGCGCGCGCCGAGATATCTTTTTGGTAGATGCGTCGTGGCGGGCGTTGTCTGGCCACGCCGCTCTGGATGCGATATGCTACAGGATGGGCGCGCAACATGTTCGGGTCGGACCCTCGCCCCCAAGGAGGACGCACAGTATTAGCACGTCTCTGCGCGCCCCAAAACAAGTGGAACTGGGGCCGCGAGACGATCGCGAGGTGGCGCGGGCTTCGAGCTGCACTCGAGAAGGAGGTCGCCGCGGGGAGGCCCGGCAAAAACGACCTCCGAGCCCGCGGGCTCGTCCGCCCGAACCGCAGCGAGCACGAGAGCGAGGGCGCCGGGCTGTCCCGCGACATCCCCGGCTTGGTCACCGCCAAGCGCCTTCTCGAGGGCGCCATGCACTTCCTGGAGCCCCGTTTCAAGCGAGAACGCGAGCACGGACGCGAGGTCAGGTGAAAGCCCATCCTGACGCGGCTGTTCTACGAGCTGGCCGTCGAGCAGGACAAGCAGCTCCACCTTCAGAAGGTCGGCCACATGAGCTACGACGTCGAGGCCCAATAGAGGGTGGCCAAGCGCGCGGAGCCCTTCCAGGTCAAACAGACGCGCAAGAAGGACTTAAAGTGGGTGGACTAGCCCGCCGCCCCGAGGCTGCTCGCGATCGGGCGCAAGGGCCAGCGCCTCTCCGACCAGCAGCACCAGGCGCTCAGCAAGGAGAAGACCAAGCTGACCCGGGCCACGGCCAACAGGTAGTAGTCGTAGTAGTCGTAGTAGTAGTAGTAGTCGTCGTCGTCGTCGTCGTAGTAGTAGTAGTAGTAGTAGTAGTAGTTGTAGTTGTAGGTGTAGTAGTAGTGGTCGTCGTCGTCGTAGTAGTAGAGTAGTAGTATTCGCAGTCGTAGTCGTAGTCGTAGTCGTAGTCGTAGTCGTGGTAGTAGTCGTAGCAGTAGTTTTACGCATTATTCGCCCTAGTGGTAGAAGTAGTAGTACCATACAACTACTACTACAACTACTGGTTAGTTTCCAGTAAGTTCACGCACCCGGTTGCGAGGGGCACGCGGACCTCTGGGCGGCAGCGCCCGCCGCAGCCGCCGCTTGGTAGGGGGCGAAGCGATCTGCTGCTCCCGAACTGCGCGGACGGGCTGGCTTCCCAGCGACCGGCCCCGTCTCGGTGATGTTGAAGTAGTTGGTTTGGGGCTTCTGGACAGGCCCCCTGAACGGCCGCCTGCCATTGCACCGAGAGCCCATTGGCATTCCAGGCGCGCTGGTGCCCACGCTAGGCGCGGGCTCCGACTTGCCGCTGAGGGCGCCAGGCGGAGCACCAGGGAGCGGCAAGCTTGTCGCAAGCGGCGTCGACAAGCGTCTCGAGGGCGGCAGGCCTTCCTCTTGCGCCGGGGCCTCGGCCAGCTCGCGCTGCAAGTCGGTCAGTTTGGGTCAGGCGCTGCTCCTCGGCTTCCGCAGC